TATATATGTATATATATATGTATATATATATGTATGTATATATATAATATATTCCGCTGTTTGATGTTAATAATTCGATGTGTAAAAATATTGTGATGTGTAATTTACTCAGTCTCATGTTAGTCCATACCTATATGCAGATCAATGAATATCCCCCCCTATAAAAAAGAATATATATATATATATATATGTGTGTGTGTGTTTTAGTATATTTATTTATTTTGCCTGTACAGTAAACCCCAACGTTCTTCAAAATATAATTTGTGTTCCGCAAAAATAAAGTCAACATGAGGGAGAGTAAATGATAAAAACAAATGTCATTTTTGGGTGAGTTAAGCCTTTTTAGACCAGTAATAATGTGAAAAGGAAATTGACATTATTCAGTACTGTAAAATTTACCATTACGTTCCAACAGTGAACTTGCGTTATTTGTTTTTTTTTTCCCCACAGCTAATTTAGTTTTGCATCAAACTGTTGAACGTATCCATGTTGGTAAGAAATTTGGTGACATACCTCGTGGGATATTTGTCGTCAGAGGAGAAAATGTGGTCTTGCTTGGAGAAGTAGTAAGTACATGTGTTCAGTCTGCCCTTGGAAGGGTTTTATGACACTGTGTATTATTTGTAAGGCCTGTGGTGTACGATGAAGCAAAATTTAATGAGGATAACAAATCATAAATCTTGCCACTATGCACTGAAGTTTAACCTTGTGCTATTTTTTCTTCCAGGATCTGGATAAAGAGTATGATCAGATCCTCCAGAGAGTTTCCATTGAGGAGATCCTGGAGGAACAGCGGACAGAACAGCAAGCCAAGCAAAATGGCCACCGTTTAAATGAAAAAAACAAAAACAAAGGGGTGCAAATTTTTCTTTGCTATTTATTGGCCTTGACTTTCGATCCTGGGCTATCCCATTTTCTATTATTGTGCCCAGCGCCGACTGAATGAGCGGGAGCGGCTTGAATGTGCTGCTATCAAATATCCTTTGACAGCCATGCATGCTTGTTCTCAGCCCGTGCGTCACAGCTGCATTTGACACGCCCCTTCCAAACGCTTGTTGAATAGGAATGACAAGGAAACATGACAAGCGCTAAAGATGAATCTCATATACTGTTATAACCGCACGCGTGCTCGCATCCCTTCGCCATTTGAATGCCGCTGTACCGCTGTACATCTGACCGGAGCCACGGGGAAAGCCGCTTGGGACCCAGCCAAAAATTACAACTGACAGCAGAAACCCAGCCCTGCTGCGATTACGCACCGAGAGAGGGAGCACGCTGATAGTGACAGCGGCACTTTAACAACTAAACCCCTCTGCGATCAACCGTGCGATACTTGATCCGTTTTCTGCCGTGCAGCCTCAGAGGATGTAGACCTCGGCCTGCTGTCTCTGACATGCTCGTTTAAATTTGGTGACATACCTCGTGGGATATTTGTCGTCAGAGGAGAAAATGTGGTCTTGCTTGGAGAAGTAGTAAGTACATGTGTTCAGTCTGCCCTTGGAAGGGTTTTATGACACTGTGTATTATTTGTAAGGCCTGTGGTGTACGATGAAGCAAAATTTAATGAGGATAACAAATCATAAATCTTGCCACTATGCACTGAAGTTTAACCTTGTGCTATTTTTTCTTCCAGGATCTGGATAAAGAGTATGATCAGATCCTCCAGAGAGTTTCCATTGAGGAGATCCTGGAGGAACAGCGGACAGAACAGCAAGCCAAGCAAGAGTCAGAGAGACTGAAGCTACAGGCGGTGAAAGAGCGAGGCTTATCGATCCCTAAAGCTGACACGTTAGATGATTTCTGAAACATCTTTAGTTATTTTTGGATGATTTTATTTCTGTTTTATTGGATGGTTTTGTTTGGTTTGAGACGACATTCTGTCTTGACTTTGAAATCATTCTGTCTGATGATAGAGGAGTGAGTCTCACAAGATTGCGACTTCAAGATTTTGTTTCACTAGTTGCTGTTAAGGCATTTTTGGGGAATTTCCCACCATCTTTGTTTCTTTTATGGCAGATGCCATAGTGAAATGAAGGATGGAGCACCAAACTAAAGCACTTGGCCTGTTGGCTTTTAGTTTAAACTTTGTAAACAACAATAATGGTATACAAGAAAATAAGTTTATTTCAGTGTACACTATGTTATGGATATGACGCTATGGTTATTAAGTTGGTATAGTATGTAAAACACATGAAACAACACTGAAAATATTTTTGTTCTATTAAACCTATTTTATACCGATGACAATCTACTTTTAATTGTTTCACTCTACTTGCTTCTAAAAACCACATTTAATTTTGGTCAAAATGATTTTTGATGATTAATCTCCAAAAATGTTTTTAGAAGCCAATCAACACGGTTTTAAAATATTAGAGTGCATTTACACTAGATGTTTGAATAGAGCACAGAATATTATTATAAAAGATATAATAATAATAATAATAATATATATATATTTTTTTAAATCTTCCCTATATGCTTGTACAGTGGCCTTATTTCCCAATTAGGGTTTTCATGTGAAACATGTCCTTGCATTAATCGGTAGCTAGGGGGTGATTTTGCCTTTGTTCTGTTTTGAGGCAATAGTTCTCCTAGAGAAGGACATCATCTACCTAATTCTGTTAGACACGGGCTGAAAGAGCACAGCAGTGTTTTCACATACTTAGAAGAGCGCAGGCCATAGCTACAGTGAATATATTAGAGTAAATTGCAGACTTATTACAGTGAGTCTAATAATTTTGCTTACACTGACAAAATTTTTACTTAGAAATTGCTTGTATTACAAAGAAATGTAGGACATTAATAAATTAAATTCGGAAGTAGAAAGGCTGAAAATAGCATTTTCTTGTAAAACATACTCCAATAATCCTATTTAATCTTAATAATAAATATTGTCAATTTCGAAGAATCATGTTATAGTGTAGATCATATAGTTTCTTCAGAGTATGTAAAATGTAGAGCATTGTTGTTAAGGGGTAAATTCCTTAAATGTCACAATTGGATTTAAAATGTCTATTATAAGCAGTAGTTGCTAAAGTTTCAGAGAAAACTCGGAGTGGAATCGGAACCGGGTGAGGTGAAATTTCCGTCCACTCATCCATGATTCCAGTCCGGATTTCAGTATGTGCGCTGACACAAAACTTGATGCTTTGCTTTTGGCACTATTTTCACTGACAAATAAGCAAAAATATACTAACTGGTAAAATGTAGTATAAAGCTTAAAGTCTGCGTGAACCGGAAGTTGCTGCCGACTTTATTTCAGTGCAGTGACGTATTTCCAGCTGAAACGGAATACTGAAAGAGGGCGTGGTTTTATGTTTGCGCTCCTCCTCTCGGTCTCTCACTCATAGCAATCTAACGGAGGGAGGGGCGTGTTTGAGGATATTCTGCCCAAGCCGTCAAACACGTCATCAGAGAAGGAATGCCATTCCAGAGCCGAAGCAAATGTTCAGATTTTGATTAAAGATTACCAAGACAAACAATTGTTTTCAGCGGATTAACTTGCACTGATTAATTGTTCACATCAAGACTAGCAATGTGCGCTAGTAAAGTAAATAAAGTCCATTTTGATTTCATGCTGACTAAGTTTTTTGTTTGTCTGTTTTTAGTTCTGGCGTCTTTTATTGAATTGTTTTACAAAAGCAATACCACAAATCGCATTTGCGTTGTCGGTCTGAATATCATCAGTGATTGCATTTAGGCCGAATCACAGTTGTTCAACAACATTCTTGCTCGTGTGATATTGCTTACTTTTTATCTACTTATCTTGTCTTGGTTGCTCAATTAGCCTAAGTACACAAAACACATGACAAGCGCTAAAGATGAATCTCATATACTGTTATAACCGCACGCGTGCTCGCATCCCTTCGCCATTTGAATGCCGCTGTACCGCTGTACATCTGACCGGAGCCACGGGGAAAGCCGCTTGGGACCCAGCCAAAAATTACAACTGAAAGCAGAAACCCAGCCCTGCTGCGATTACGCACCGAGAGAGGGAGCACGCTGATGGTGACAGCGGCACTTCAACAACTAAACTCCTCTGCGATCAACCGTGCGATACTTGATCCGTTTTCTGCCGTGCAGCCTCAGAGGATGTAGACCTCGGCCTGCTGTCTCTGACATGCTCGTTTTAACCGGACTTGTCGCCAGTGGCTCGACAACGCTGTGTTTAAACAGGCAATGCCTTCCTCGCGCGTTTTGTGGCGCAAACTACAACAACCGCACGCGCGTGCCAGCGATTCGTTGCTTTACTTGTCTATACGTGTGTTGGTAGATTGAAATGCCAAGGTTTTGATTTAAATACTTTTGTACGGACGGAAAAGAGCGTATTCGGCTGGGAGGAGCAATAAGGAGCTCTATCTACTCTTCGGCTTCCACGGCAATACCACGGAGGGGTTTTTTGATGGAGCTGGAGAATATTGTTGCAAACACGGTACTCCTGAAGGCAAGAGAGGGTGAGTACGGAAAACTACCGCGAAAATGTGATCTGTCATGTTTTAATCGCATGTACTTGATTTTACAGCCGCGAAACCGCTGCCCGTGCACCTATCCTGGTGATGTAATCTCAAACAGATGCTGTGTGAATCTGTCCAGCACGACCTGAAACACTGGCTGCGTCCGAGAGCGCTGAAGTGCTGCCTTCGGATGCAGAAGCATCAAGGCATGTCCGAACCCAAATTCTGCTTCACTTCCGTCTCCGGAGGTACCTTCGGATCGAATTTTGAAGGCAGCATAGATGTATCCTTCGCTGCCTCTTGAGTGAGTGTGATAGTCTTATTTTTTTAAAGAAAATTTAAAGGGAAAACTGAAGTGAATTATCAGCTAAAGAAAGCAAACAGTAAATTAAGTAATAAATATCAAGGCTGCGTCCGAAAGCCTAGGCAGCTGACTTATCAGGCAATGACTTTGCAGGCAGCGTTTTTTGCACTGAGGCACCTCATGAAACTGATTTCGGACAGGCTTCTGAGGCAGCGTAACGGTTTAATGATCGACAACAAAGTAGAACGAGATTTGGTGATAACTAAACTAATATTTAATTACTATAATACTGATTTCTCGCTAGAAATAACATCAAAAGTGCAACAAGTTAGTCAGAAATATACATTACACACAAACTGACCACCAAACACAACTTTCAGACGCCATCTTTATTTTTTAGCTCAACCGTCACGGAATGGAACGCACAGGATTGTGGGATATCAAAGGCAGCGAAGGATACATCTATGCTGCCTTCAAAAATCAATCAGAAGAAGGTACCTCCGGAGACGGGAAGTGAAGCAGAATTTGGGTTCGGACGTGCCTTTATGCCTTCCTGCCTTGGCATTTTAGAGCTTTCGGACGCAGCCAAAGATGGCGTCTGAAAGTTGCGTTCGGTTGGCTTTCGGACGCAGCTATTGTTTCGAACACCACCAGCGGTCCTTTCATCTGTAACCGACGTCAGAACGCCAGCGTTATAATGCTGTAACATTGTATCGTTTGACAGTCGGTACTCGTTACGGGAAAACATCAGCCTCCTACATCCGTTTAACGTGCTGAAAAGCGAGTCGTGGTTTTTACAAATACAAGTTATTGCGTGTAGGGTGACGACAAACTTGGCGTGTTCGCTATATGCTACGCTTTCACTGAGGTAGGCTACCTAACGTGAAGAAATGGTAGATATGTTGCAGCTGACGCCTTTTTAACGTTATTCCACACAGACACCCCTGAACCAGGTTAAACAGTCTATAAGGCGATGTGAGCAATGCTTGTCTTCGTTACCACAATTACCGCTACTTCCTTTGCTGGTGTTTTGATATCTAAGGCCCCATCAGACGACCATTATTCCGCTATCCTGAAGTGTCGTCTGAAGCTTTATTGGTTTCGATTCAGATTGAGCCAAATGTAAACCAGAACCACTATACTAGGGTAGATGGATTGTAGTATGTGTTGTCTTTTTTTTGTCAGGCCTTGAATGGGATTATGATAGGACAGAGATGATGTAGCATACTATAAAGCATTTTGACATTTTCTCCACAAAGAAAAAAAAATGTAACATTTAGCTGTAAGCGCAAAGCTGCTCTCTTGCATCATGGCAAATAATAATGGAGTCCTGAAGGGTCTTGAGAAGAAAAGGAGAGAAATAATCATAAATCTTCATATTAAAAGGTAGTTGCACTACAGTTCTTTTGTTTTGATTTCAACAAACCTGTTTTAGAGATGGTGGCCTATTTTCTGTCAGTCAGTTTCAAAAGGAACACAATACATAAGATTCTGTTTACAATTCACACTTCACTTTTTGCTTAGAAGTGAATCACTTCTTGAATCTCTTCTAAACTGTAGTTACAATTCAACAAGTCATTCAGATTTTACTTCTTGCATTTTGTCGTGATCTTAATCACCAGCTACATCTCAGTGTGTCATTCAGCTTGTGCATCTTGCCATCCGTCGTGATCCTTCAGAGTTCAGTCATGACATTGTTCAAAGATTGCAAAATATGGAGCCGGTGAACCTTGTTAGCCATAGCGTCCACACATTTTTTGCAACGTTGTGTCTGTTAATTGCCCAAATTCTCCTGTGGCCTGGAGGCACAAGCTCATATATCCAATTCCTGTGCTCTTTGTTGCCCTTAGACTGGAGTTTACCATAAATGACCAGGTTTTTAAGTGTAAGATTTACAGTCTACCTCACTATGTTGTTGAACAGGGGGCGCTAGGCTAGGCCAGTAACATTAGCTGCCTTCCTGGTCGCTGATGTAACTGAATGAGTATTCATTAAAGAAGCTTGGTTTATTTTTATTTTCAACACTTCCAGTAGAGTTTCTCTCAAAGGACAGCGGGTTCAAGTGTACATAGTTATTGAAGGGACGTTTCACAACGCTTTGTACAAATATTGAAAAAAGCCTTTTTACCTGCATGCTTCAACATTTGATTGGACTGTCCTGCTTTTAATACAAGTAGACAACATTTTTTATTCAATAAGCTCACTTGAGGACTTGTTTAGTAAGATTTTTCCAGAAAAAACGTTTAAGAATTTTCATAGTGTAACC